GGGCTTGGCGAGTAGACTCGGAATTGGGGTGGCCGGTGACGACGTTGGACTCGCCGCGATTATTCGTAGTCGGAGCCATGACGGATCGGTGAAACTTAAAAATGTCGGAGAGAAGAGTCGAGGGAGACTCGCCGCGAGGCAAAGTTCTAGTCTTAGCCAGCTTGAACGGGAGAAAAGCTAGAGCGGGAAGGTTGACTGAGCCGTTTGAAAAATGAGAGACGTGGGTGGAGGTAAATGAGCTCCAACCCACGTATATGTAGTTGGAGAAGGGCGAGTAGCGCGCTTCGACGATGCCCAACGCTTCAGTACAATCAGCTTCGCTTTCACAATGCACAATTTTTGAAAAACACTACGTGTGTTAAAAATTATAATTTAATGGAAGACTGGTAGGGAAGTGTCTGCCTGTTCCTCACATTGAAGTAATTGTCAAAATCGAGGAAATTATATGAGACTATAGCAAGGTAGTCTAAGAGTGCAGCTGACTTGTGCTTGAAAGGGAAATCAGTCATTGTAGTCTATGTTTGAGAGTGACATTTGTTTGGCTGATCTGAAGTAAATTGTTGAAACACGTAGGCTTTTGCACTGAAGCGAAGAGAGTCAATGCCGTATTGCTGGAATTTGGCGAAATCTCGTCCTTGGACCTCTTCTCTCGAACCACTCCAAACCCCCTGGCACTGCTCTTTCTCCAAAACTCGGATGCTTCAGTAACACGTCTGATGTACCTTGCTTCAGCGACCTGCTGAAATTCCAGTGGTAAGTAAGCCAGCTTCATGAACACGGATGTGCGTCGCACGCCATCTGACTGCATAGTTGACCCAAAACCTTTCAAATCTGCCTGGCAAATGGCAGCCATTTTCGGAGATGATATTGGTCGATGCTCTCTCCTCACTTGTTCCATCGAACTCCACCCCTATCCCCTTTGAAGCATGTCAACGGACAGCTCTGTGTAAGCCAGGGAATCTGTAGATGTCGTTTTTCACACCAACCGCGAGCTAGTGCAGGCATAACAAAAACCTGTTACTGGAACTGCACGTTCTTGCTTGCAATGGAGCCGGACACGTGGGTGACATAACATTGTGGAAAATGACACTCTCCTTGCAGGCAAGAGGATCATAGTCTGCCGTGCCGTGCTTATGTGGAGAGGCTGAAGAGCACGTTTCTTACAGGAGATTTCAGCGATATTGAATTTGAGGCTTCTGATGGGACCAGGATTCATGCTCATCTCAATGTCGTCTCGATGTGGTAATTACGTCAAAGAAAAGGGTCCAGCCATAATGTGTCCGGGAGGGAGGTTTCTGCAAGGCATCCGCTGTGGTGGATACGCCAGTTACACTTCTGCTGATTGTCCATTACACTTGAATGACCATGGCTTTTTTGTTTCTCCAGGTCTCCGGTGCTGGAAGACATGTTCAGGAGCACACGTGTACAAGGACATAAACACAAGGTTGTAAAAATGGTCGAGATGGATGGTTCTTCACTAAGGGATTTTCAGTCGTTTATGTACGGATTCGAGATAAACCTATCTCCGCAGTCACTGAAGGTGCGTAGAATGTAAGACCAAGCAAAAACCTGGTGTCACATATGCTTTTGTACAAGCTTTTGTGCGTTGCCTTGAATTGGTTGCTTCCAGACTGGACTTGCTGTGTTTTAGCAGTGCCCGAAGAGTAGTCATCTTCGAAGTCGGGGCGAAGGTCTGAAAGAAGTCAACACCCTCGCGTTGACTGAAGCCTCTAACCACGTAGCTCGCCTTGAACTCAGGCGGCTCTCCACGAGGGCGCTTCACCTTGAAGAGCCACCAGCCATCTACTACAGTACGTTCACCTCAGGTGGGGGAACTGTGTCGACATAGGTGCCAATGGATCTCCAAGATGCCATCTCTGCGTCCATGGCAACTATCCACTAAGAGGCACAGGGTCCCGAGGTCGCCTCAGCGTAGGTGCGAGGGGTCGGGATCTCACGAACGTGAGCGAGGCAGCCCTAGACGTGGAACGCAGACGCAACACCAGGGAACCCGGTCCAAAGGAAGGTCGGCAAAACCTGCGGCCGTTGAGAATGGGGCCACATGTTAAGTTGGTGAGCGGCGTAGCAAACAGTGAACATCCACATAAAATGGGGTGCACCGGTATGGATCATGGAGGTACGCGCTACCTCCATAACCAGACCGATGCGTCGCTCAGCGACTCCATTCTGCTGTGGGGAGTCAGCCAACGGAGGGGCTAGCGTAGAGCCTAGGCTAAACAAGGCAGAGGGTCCTATGCCTGACGCAGCAGAGGAGCCTAAACTACACACAGTGGATACACCAAAGCTAGGCAACATCGGGTAATAGGGTCCAATCACAATAGAGTTATCAACATATATGATAGACATGACATTCCTAGCCTGATCCATGTCAAGCTCAAAGATAGGCACACGGCGGCGAGCCAGGGCGTACCAGTCCGGAGGGTCCGATGCAGGACCAAAGCGGTGGCGGAAAAGGTCGTCCAGGCGGCGGTAGCAGCGGTCGGCGGCGTGGACGGGCCGGGAGCAGACAGTGCCGCGGCAAGGGCCGGTCTGAAGCTGGTACTGGCAGGTGACCGCGCTGGAGCTGCCACCCGACACCGAGCTGCGCCCACCACTCCCATGACCACTGCCACTAGCGTCGCCAGTCCACCACGGCGACTGCTGCTGCTGTGACGACGGCTGCTGCGGCTGCGACTGCTATTGCTGAGGCTGCTGTTGCTGCAGCTGAGGCTGCGTCTGCTGCTGCTGCTGCTGCTCCAGGGCACCAGCCTCGGTCCCCTCGTTCGAACCACCGTCGCCGCCACCCCTCCCATCCCCACCCCCCTTCCCTCTACCACGCCTCCCCTTGGAGCGGCGACCCTTACCCAGACGCGTCTGCGCTAAGACCGCAGCAGCAGTCTCAGCAACAGCAGTAGAGGCGTCAGAGTAAGTGCACTGGGAGGGAGCACAACCCTGAAAGATAGGCACCGCCGCAGTACCGCTGGACTGAGCAATACTGCGCTCGCGGGTATCTATCGCAGACAGGGTAATGACAAAGGCGGTAAGGGTGAGGTCACCCGGGTGCTGACTAAGGAAGTGGTCGCGGGCTGTGGTTAGGCGGTCGGAAAGGCGCGTGGCGATGAGATAAAGGGTAGCGCAGAACGGCGGCAGAAAGGCAGTGAGCTGTGCCTCAGTGCTTGCGGCGCTGTAGCTACTGTAGTCTCAAGCGCACGGAGGTGAGTGGCAAGGCCGGCGGCAGTGAGGAAGGACGGAAGATCAGGGAACAGCATGGGGAGGATCAGGCGGCCAGCAGAGGCAGTGGCGGGGGTGGAATAGCACGCAATGACTGCATCTAAGAAAGCCTCGGCGTTCACTACAGTGGTAAAGCGAGGACGCTCAGACAGAGGGAGTGCGTGAGTGATAGCAAGTTGTGCGACAGCGTCGCGCGAGTCCCAGACGACACGAGCAAGCGCAACAGCGGAAAAGGCCTCACACTCAGCAATGGTGGGGACATCAGGGACAACAGGCGGAGGGGGGCGGGGAAGTAGACCATCGACATGAACAGCCAGGGAGTGACCGTCCTGGTGCTGACCTATAAGGTGACGACGGAGGTCGACGAGCCACGCGTCGAAGTCTATTGCCCGATCCTCCGCGTCCAGGCGAAGCTGTGACTCCGCCATTAGCATGGCTGCAGCAGCTGATTGCCGCTGACTGGATGAGGAGGACAGGCGAAGGAAAGCAGTGGAGAGCGGTGGAGTGCGGTGGATGGCGGTGGAGAGTGGTGGAGTGCGGTGGAGAGTGGTGGAGTGTGGTGGAGTGCAGTGGAGAGCGGTAGAGATAGCCGGAAGCTGAGTCGGCGCAGAAGGGAGCCAAGGTCGGTAGGTCGGGGGCGGTAGAGCGACACGGCGGCGTAGCAACACAGCGGCTCGGCGGTGCTGCGGTGTGGCTGCTGGCCGGCGCGGGGCCGGTGCGGGCTGTGGCCGGCGGAGTAGGGGCCGGCAGGGCGCACAAGGCTAGCGGGGCGCACGGGACTAGTGGGGCGCTGACGGGGCCAGCGGGACGCACGGGGCCTGCAGGGCGAACCGGGCCAGCGGGGCGTACGGGGCCGGCGGGGCGCCCTGGGCTAGCGGAGCACGACGGGGCCAGCGGGGCGCTAAGGGGCCAGCGGGGCATACGGGGCCAGCAGGGCTCGACAGGGCCAGCGGGGCGCGAACGGGGCCAGCGGGGCGAACGGGGCCAGCGGAACTCAACCGGGCCAGCGGGGCGCCAATGGGGCCAGCGGAACTCGACCGGGCCAGCGGGGCGCCAACGGGGCCAGCGGGGCTAACGGGGCCAGCGGGGCTCGACGAGGTCAGCGGGGCACTAACGGGGCCAGTGGGGCGTACAGGGCCAGAAAGGCGCCAAGGGGCCAGCGGGGCGCAACGGGGCCGACGGGGCGAACAGGGCGCTAAGGGGACAGCGGGGCGCGAACGGGGCGGCTAGGGCTAGGCGCGGGTGGGCAGGGAGACCTAACCTAGCGTGATACCATCTCAGAGTAAAAAGTTACTAGAATGAGAGAAATCAAGGTGGTTTTGTCTAAGGGGTTGTACCTTCTAAGAGTACAAACCTATCTAGCCTATAAGACATATACAAATATGTTTGACAGCCCTTCCCCGAGGATCTTCTCAAGGGTAACCCCAGCGGGTCCCTCGACACCAGGATCAGGTTCTAGGAAAACACCCTCAATTGTATCATAGTGCAAGTTGTCTCTGTGCTGCCTTGAGCCTGCCAAATCAGTCAGTACTCGTTCTTCTTGCTGTAAAAGGGCTCACGAGCAGGGCTGACGTTTCAAAAAAAGGCACTCTGAGCCAACCCCCCCCCCAAAAAAAAATAGTCTGAAGGGCCTTCAGCCGAAATTTTTGTAGTCTGAAATGCCAGGGTCCAGAACTCAGCGAGTCTGATTTTTTCAGGGTCCAGGACGTACAACCAGAGTCACACACGGGAAACACCCCCACAGCGAGAAACATCCCTCCCTCCTACACCTCCCAAAAAATCGGCTAAGTCCCTTGCAGCATTAAAAATCCTCCCACAGCCCGCGCCCCCCCCAACCAGCAACCTTGTCATACCCTCGTTTTGCGTAGTTGTTAAATGTGGGAAACGGGGAAGTCATTCCTAAAAACCGAGGGGGTAAAGTCGCACTGCCACGGAAATCGAAACTGAGGAGAGGGGGAATCGAAACTGACGGGGAAATGGGGAGGGAATCAAAATGGAGGGGAGGGGGGAAGCGAAACGGAGGGGAGGGGGGGGAAGGGGGGGGGCGGTCGAAACGGAGTGGATGGGGGAAGCGAAACGGAGGGGAAGGGGGAAATGATCGAAACGGAGGGGAGGGGGGAAGCGAAAATGGAGGGGAAGGGGGGAATCGAAACGGCAGGGAGGGGGGAAGCTTGGGAATAGGACGGTGGGAGAAATTTCGCGCCCTTGCAGCACCCCGGTTGGGAAATCTTGGACGTTAATCACTACATAACATCGAACGATTGATATACGTTGAAACGATCGCAAGCGATCGTGACCGTTACATTTTGTTAGACTTTCAGTTGACCAAACGGGCAACTGGCGAGAATTTCCCTATGTTAAAAATGCGGAATTTACTCTCATTTCAATGCAGTTTAAAAACATAAGTGAAAGTCTCATTCAAAACTTCTGGGTTGTTCCAGGTGTTAGGGAGGACTGTATCTGACAACATGAATTAGTCGAAATTTAGGGTGGAGTGTGGGGTGTGAGGGGACTGTATCTGACAACATGTCTCTAGCGTTCCGGGACTTCGCCGAAATTTTAGATGGGTTGTGGGGTGTGGGGTGGGGGTTGTGGGGTGTGGGGTGGGGGTTGTCTCTAGGGTTCGGGGACTTGGCCGAAAATTTTTAGGGGTTGTGGGGTGTGTGGGGCATGTCTCTAGCGATTGGGGACTTCACCAATTTTTTCGAAGGTTCGTACTGTACAGGTAATGAGTCAGGGTCTGTACGCGCTGTGCTCTGAAAACTCAGTACTGGGTTAGCGACAACTCTGATTTTCTCAGGATCCCTAGAATCGTACTCTGAAGGGATCAGGATTGGGAAAATGCCTTATCTGGAAATTCAGGTTTGGCCAAAAAACAGGTCTGAGATTTCAGACTAATCAGAGTAAATAGTCTGATAAAATCAGCCCTGCTCACGAGTCACGGCACGGCCCACGGGTCAGATTTGGGTTCCTCAAGACTGGTACTAGTATTTCACCCTCAAGCAAGTGCCCTGTACTTGAGCCGTGTCGGCTCCTTGTTTCCAAGCCTCCGCCTCCTGTCCTCCTCATAGTCGCTGTATGACCCTTCAAACCAAACCACCTGAGGATTTATACGAACAGAGGCAAAAGGCATGTAAAAAATCATCCCCAAGCTGTAGGATGACCCATTCCACACGATGCGGTGCTGGTTATGTGATGCCATGCCATGCCATGGAGAGCCAACACATGCAGCATCAGAAAAAGCCTTTTCCAGTGAGCTAAGACACTAGCTCGCATAACGCGCAGCATTTCCATGTTTAGAGCAGACATGCCATGCACATGCTTGATGGTGCAATTTCCGGCAATCACGCCCTTACCAACTGTGACTGACAATGTGATGACGACAATTATGGCCTTCAAGGGACAAAGTCTGGCAGTGAGCCTGCTATCGCTTTCTTCTCCGAACCAGGTCAGGGTGTCGCTGGAGTCGTTTGGGAGTGCCCGTAGCGTATCTTTTTGAGGCGCCTAAAAAAAATCCGTGCGTGAGGAGTCTATTTTTGAGGCGCCTCAAAAGCTGTTTCCATTTTTCCTCCGTTTTCTACAAACGCAATTTGGAGTCGCCTTCCAAGGTCATGATGTGTGTGGCAATGCCATCCAGGAACCAGTAACCCAGGACCACAACCACTGGGATCTCTTCCATTCTTGGAAACTTTCAAAACCACGTACCAGCCATCGAATTCTCCCTCAAACGCACCTTGGAGTCGCCTTCAAACGCCATGATGTGCGTGGCAATGCGGTCCAGGAACCAGCGGTCGTGGGAGATGACGATCACGCAGCCCGCAAAGCCCTGAATCGCATCCTCCAGCGCCCTCAGCGTGTCCACATCCAGGTCATTGGTCGGCTCATCCAGCATCAGCAGGTTGCCCCCGCGCCGCATGATCCGCGCCAGGTGCACGCGGTTCCGCTCCCCGCCTGACAGCACGCCCACCTTCTTCTGCTGGTCCGCTCCCTTGAAGTTGTACCACGCGCAATAGGCCCGGCTGTTCACCTTGCGGTCACCTGCGTTTAGTGGGAGGGAAAGAGGAAAGCATCAGTGTGGCTGTAGTACTGACTGTAGCATGTGTGACTGAATTATACTAGGTGCAGCCATAACCAGCACAGTCCGTACAAAATACGATTTGCACTCAGCACAACCTATCTACCTTGCGGTCACCTGCGTTTAGTGGGAGGGAAAGAGGAAAGCATCAGTGTGGCTGTAGTACTGACTGTAGCATGTGTGACTGAATTATACTAGGTGCAGCCATAACCAGCACAGTCCGTACAAAATACGATTTGCACGCAGCACAACCTATCTATCTCCACAAAAGGACAAACTCACCCAGCAAGATCTCGTCTGCGCCGCCCGTGATCTCCTCAAACACCGTCTTGTTGGGATCGAGCGAGTCGCGTGATTGGTCGACATAGAGCGGCGCAACAGTGTCCCCGACACGCAGACTGCCGCCGTCAGGCGAGTCTTGGCCCGTAATCATGCGGAAGAGGGTGGTCTTTCCGGCACCATTCCCCCCAATCACGCCCACAATGCCTGTTAAAAAATGCGGGGTTTTAACAGCAGGGGGGAGGGGGGGGGGAGCATTTATGAGTGACGGTGTCGCCAATACCCAGAGTGCACCGTCAGGTGAGTGCCCCGCAATAAGGCAGAAAAGACTGGACTAGCCGGCAACATTCCCACCAATCACGCCCACAATGCCTGGTGAATACAGGGTATATAAGCAGAAAAGGGGGGGGGGAGCGGGTAGTTTTGATGGTGTCATTTCAACACACAGAGTGCACCATCAGGTGAGTCCTGCCCCACAATAATGCAGAAAAGAGAGTGGCCTTGCTGAAGCCATTCCCACTGATAACACCCACAAGGGGGAAGGAGGACCCTCCCCAAATGCCGTGATAGGATTTTTAGAATTCTCAAAAACCTATCACTCCACAAATGCCTTTGCCACCGCCTTTGCCTGTAGCATCACCAGATCATGTGTCTGTATGTGCGCACCCTGCTACCAGCGTGCATATGCGGGCACCTGCATATCTTACCGCCAGGAGGTAGATTGAAGGCGACTCAATCCATGAGCACCTGTTCCCAAAAGCATTTGCCACGATCTGCCCCCACCACCACATCTCCCAGTCACTTTTGAGTCGACTCAAAAGTCATCACGATCTGCCCCCACCACCACATCTCCCAGTCACGGCGAAGCAAGGCCCGTAAGCCCACATGTGCATGCAACCAACCAATCACTCACCGCCAGGCGGCAGCATGAAGGTCACTCCATCCATGAGCCCCCTCACCCGAAATGCCCTCTGCACCGCCTCTGCCTCCCTCACCCCCACCACCTTTCCATGCATGTGTGTGCACATGTGTGAGACCCCATCCATGAGCACGCGCTCCCCAAACCGTCTGCACCGCCTCAGCCTCCACCACCACATCTCCCAGAGGAGACGACGCAAGGCTCATGGCCGTGCATGCACATGCGCGCAGTGCAAACAAACAGTGCAGTGCAGTGCTGTACATACCTCCAGATGGTAGGTTGCAGTGCTGTGGTGCAGTACGTACATACCCCATCATCCCCTTCGCCGCCGCCTATGCATCCACCACCACATCACCCAGTCATGGCAAAGGAAGGCCCCATGAGCGCACATGTGCGCGCTTGCATGTGCGTGCAGCCAAACAATCACTCACCGCCAGGTGGCAGCATGAAGTTCACCCCATCCATCAGCACCCTCTCCCCAAACGCCTTGGCCACCGCCTCTGCCTCCACCACCACATCGCCCAGACGGGGCCCGGGCGGCAGGAACATGCTCTCGAGCTTCTCCTCCCTGGAATACTGGCCGGCCTGAATGACCAGCTCCTCATATGCACGCATGCGCGCCTGTGGTGGGAAAGTGAGGCAGGGGGAGGCAGGGGGGGGCAGGGTAGTTGGAGAAGTGAGGCAGGGGAAGGCAGGGGGAGGCAGGGGGAGGCAGGGGGAGGCAGAGGGGGGCAGGGGGAAGCAGGGGGAGGCAGGAGGAGGCAGGGGGAGGCAGGGGGAGGCAGGGGGAGGCAAGGGGAGGCAGGGGGAGGCAGGGGGAGGCAAGGGGAGGCAGGGGGAGGAGACACAGAGTAACAGAGGGCGGCAGAAACATGCTCTCGAGCTTCTCCTCTCGCGAGTACTGGCTGGCCTGGATGACCAGTTCCTCATATGCACGCATGCACGCCTGTGATGTGAGGGATGGCAGGGGGAATGGGGCAGGAGGAGGAGTGGGCATGTCCTCTGCTTTCCACCATCACATTGCCCAGGCGAGGCCCCGACACAGGAACATGCTCTCAAGCCTCTGCTCTGCTGCCTTTCCCCACTCCTCCATGCGCCCGATTGCCCGCCCACCCACCCACCCACACACCCGCCCCCATAGCCCGCTGTTTCATCCCTTACCTCCCTCCCCCCTCCCCCCTTCCTCACCTTGCCCTTCTTCTGCTGCCCCTTGGCCTTCTGTCTAATCCACTCCATCTTTCTATCTATTGCCCATTGCTGCGCCGACTGCTGGCTTTCGCCTCTCTCCATTAACCCCCCCTCCCTCTCCCCCCCCCCTCTCTTCCTCACCTTGCCCTTTTCTGTTTCCCCTTGGCCTTCTGTCTTATCCACTTCATCTCTCTGTCCATCACTTGTTGCAGTACAAACTGCTGCCTTGCCTTTCCCCACTCCCCTATTTGCCCCACTCCATCTCTTACTCCCCCCTACCATCCCGCCCATCTCACCTTGCCCTTCTTCTGCTGCCCCTTGGCCTTCTGTCGGATCCACTCCATCTCCCTCTCCATCACTCGCTGCAGCGCCGACTGCTGCCGTTCCTCCCCAGCCATGCGCTCCGCCTTGTTCTCCAGCCACGCCGAGTAGTTGCCTTCGAACGGGATCCCCTGCCCCCTGTCGAGCTCGAGAATCCACCCAGCCACCTGCAGTGGACGGAAAGGGAAGTAATAAAAAGGGGGGCTTGTGGTGAGGGTACTGCTGCTGCCGCTCCTCCCCGGCCATGCGCTCCGCCTTGTTCTCCAGCCACAAGTAGTTGCCCTCGAAGGGGATGCCCTGGCCCCTGTCGAGCTCCAGGATCTACCCAGCCACCTGCACACAGAAGCAAGGGAGGGAAGATATCGAAAGGGGGATTGGTGGTGCCGGCACTGCTGCCGCCCCTCCCCTGCCATGCGCACCGCTTTTCCCTCCAATCCAGCCACGCCGAGTAGTTGCCCTCGAAGGGGATGCCCTGCCCGCGGTCCAACTCGAGGATCCACCCGGCCACCTAGTCACAGAGGAAAGGGAGGGGAGGGGCGAGGCAAGAGATGAAGGTGACTTTAGAGTCGACTCAAAAGGGAGGGGAGGGGCGAGAGAGTAAGTACCGGTCGTGGGGGATGGCCACCACCATGCCAACGCCTCACATCAGTGTAGTCCACGCCTCACACCAGCATCGTAGGCTTCCCTACAATCCCGCCTCGCTATAGTCACGTCTCACATTGTCAAGGAAGTACTGGTCGTGCGTGGGTGATCGCCACCACAGTGCCTTTGAGCTCCTGTCAGCAGTGCTCTAGTCAACGACCTTTGAGGCGCCCCAAAGGTAACCAACTCCAACCACGCCCACCGCCTCTCCTGCATCCCGCCCTGCCCACCTACCGCCCCACATCTCACCCGGCCTCCACCACAGCCCCATTTCACCATAGCCTCCCAATAAAGACCCCATGTCTCACATTATCGAGGAAGTAGCGGTCGTGGGTAATGGCCACCACAGTGCCCTTGAACTCAGCCAGGTAGCGCTCCAGCCACGCCACTGCCTCTGCGTCCAAATGGTTGGTGGGCTCGTCCAGAAACAGGATGTCAGGGGCCTGCAGTGGGGGGGAGCGGGAAGGGGGTGGTAGGGAAGTGAAAGGGGGGGGGGGGGGAGGAGGGTCGGGGATATGAACTCAGCCAGGTAGCGCTCCAGCCACGCCAACGCCTGTGCATCCAAATGGTTGGTGGGCTCGTCCAGAAACAGGATGTCAGGGGCCTGGGTGGGGGAGCAGAAAGGGGGTGGTAGGGAAGGGAAGAGGGGGGGAGGGGAGGGAGGAGGAAAGGGAGGGGGGAGGGGAATGAACTCTGCCAGGTACCGCTCCAACCACGCCACCGCCTCGCCTGTGCGTCGAGACGGTCGGTGGGCTCGTCCAGAACGAGGATGTCGGGGGCCTGGGGAAGGGGAGGAGATGGGGGGTGGGGGAGAGGAAGGGGAGATAGGGTCAGCCCTTGAACTCAGCCAGGCACCGCTCCAGCCATGCAATCTATCACATTATCGAGGAAGTAGCGGTCGTGGGTGATGGCCACCACCGTGCCCTTGAACTCAGCCAGGTACCGCTCCAGCCACGCCACTGCCTCTGCGTTTAAATGGTTGGTGGGCGCGTCCAGAAACAGGATGTCAGGGGCCTGGGGAGGGAAGTGGGAAGGGGGCGATAGGGAAGGGGGTGGGGAGGGGGAGGGGGGAGGGGGGGGGTGGGGGGGCGGGGGTATGAACTCAGCCAGGTACCTCTTCAGCCACGCCACGCCAGCCACGCCACGCATCGAGGTGATTTGTTGGCTCGTCCAGAAACAGGATGTCAGGGGCCTGGGAGGGGAAGCGGGAAGGGGGAGGCAGGGAAGGGAAGAAGGGCGGGGGGGGGTGGGGGGAGGGGGGAGGGGAGGGCATGATCTCAGCCAGGTACTGCTCCTCACCTCACATGCTATACCCCTCTCCTCTGTATCTTTGTCTTCCACCCGCGGAAGTAGCAGCGGGCAGGCACAATGCCAGGAGGTGTTCTGTTTCCGAGAACTTCCCCACTTTCCGCAACCTGCTCCATTCACTTCCCCCGGTAGACCCCCTGATTCCCCCTCCCCCCCACACACCTGCAGCAGCAGCCGGCACAGCGCCACGCGCCTCCTCTCCCCCCCACTGAGCTTGTCCACGGGGGCTTCCCCCGCGGGGCAGCGCAGAGCGTCCATGGCACGCTGAAAGCAGGAGGGCAGGGCGGGCAGAGACAAGGGCGGGAGACAAGGAAAGTAGGGAGGGAGGTTCGGAGGGAGGGAGGAAGGGGGGGGGGGGGGGGGGAGAGGGGCAAAAATTCACCTCTTTGGCATGAAATAGAAGGAATTTGGCGTAACAGTGCATTCTTTCACCTGGCTTCTCATCTGCAGCTACTCAGCTCTGCTGGTTCCACCTGAGGACTCACCTGCAGCTGCCTGTCGAGCTCCCAGCCGTTGCAGGCGTCCAGGCGGGTCTGCAGGCGCTCCATCTGAGTCATGAGCTTGTCCATGTCAGCATCGCCCGCACTCGCCATCGCGACACTCACCTGAGGGTTTGGTATAAGCACACATGGTTACAAGCACACAAGAGAACACAAGAGAACACAGAGACATGAGCACGTTCATTCACTATGAACCACTTGGCCTGCAGGCGCTCCATCTGAGCCATGAGCTTGTCCAGTCAGCATCGCCCACACTTGCCTTGGCCGCACTAACCAGGTTACATGCACACATGATTACATAGAGACATTTATACGTTCTGTATAAGGCTCTTGGGCCTGTACACGCTCCATCTGAGTCATGAGCTTGTCCACGTCAGCATCGCCCGCACTCGCCACCGCAACACTCACCTGGCAGATTCAAGCACACACGGATACAAGTGCACTCAAGCACAGTCCCAGTTGTGTCACGGAGCACACGGGAGCAGAAACGCTCAATCAAGTTTTGAGGCGCCTCAAATCAATCTCTGGAAGCTAAAAAACGCTGCTCTGTTCCTTCCCTCGAAGCCATGAGCTTGTCCACGTCACCATCTCCTGCAGTTGGAAAGCACGCATCGGCATAAGCACACTCGGGTATGGGCATGCACAGTGTTCTTTGCTCTCAACCCCAACCTCGCTTCCTTCCCAAACCCCCTTCCCCCCCCCCTCCCCCTCCCTCCCCTCCCTCTCACCTCCTCAAACTCCTGCAGTAAGCCCTTGGTCTCCTTAAGAGCAGGCTCGACAATATCCGTAACCGTGACGCCATCATACTGCACTCCCCTCTATCCCTCTTATACCAACCCCCCCCTCACCTCCTCAAACTCCTGCAGCAGGTCCTTGGTCTCCTTAAGAGCAGGCTCGATATTATCCATAACCGTAGGCCCGTCATCCAGCGATGGCTCCTGCTCCAAATATCCAATCTTGATGCTCGGATCAATGTAGTAGTCCCCCTCAAAAGCCGCGTCTTTTCCTGCCAGAATGCGCATGAGGGAACTTTTCCCCGCGCCGTTGGCTCCTAGGAACCCGATCTTGGCGCCCAGGTACATCCCCAGGCTGATGTTCTTCAGAATCTCCTTGCCGTTGGGAGCGACCTGATGGGGTGCACAATGAGGAAGGATGGAAGGCGGGCAGGGAGGAGTTGGACGAGGGGAAAACGGGCAACCGTGGCGCCCAGGTACATTCCCAGGCTGATGCTCTTCAGAATCTCCTTGCCGTTGGGCGCCACCTGATGGGGAGGGGGAGGGGAGAGGGGAGTGAAGATGGGTTTGCGAGGTGGGGGGGGGGTGGGGGGGGTTGTTTGAGGAAGGCGAAATAAGGCAAGTAGGAGCTCTTCCCCGCGCCATTGGCTCCTAGGAACCTGATCTTGGCGCCCAGGTACATCCCCAGACTGATGCTCTTTAGGATCTCCTTGCCGTTGGGGGCCACCTGATGGGGTGGGGGTGGAGGGAAGGGGGTCGGGGAGTGGGAGGGTGATAGAGCAGGGGGGGAAGAGGAGGCGGGGAGATAAAACTAAGCCGGGATGCGGAAAAGGTAGGAGGAAACGGGAACGGGAGGTGTGTGGAGCAAACCTTCTTACTTGAACCCTGAACCTCTGACATAGAGCCTGGTCGCAACAGGAACAGCAAGAGAACAGGAACAGCGTGCCTTGCGGAGGCGATTCACGCTGAGGATGATCTTCCGCGTCTCATTCTGGTACGCCGCTCCGCGGTCCGCAGCCGGCGCCTTGCTGCCCGCAGACTTCAGCTTCCCCCCGCCTCCGCCTCCGCCGGCACCCCCGCCACCTCCACCTCCGCCTCCGCCGGCTTTTCCGCCGCTTCCCCCGCCCTTCTTCCCCTTCTTTCCCGCCATCGCGACCACTTTTACAGCGCGTGCTGCTGTCGCTGCGGAATGGCGGTGTGGCTTGAGGTGCAACGTGGAGCCCTTCCATTGGGGGAGGTCAATGCCGACGATTTGGACGCATTTCGAGGCAGAATGTGCGGCACTGCCACGCTGAATGGTCAATTCGGAACCAACCGCCAGACATGTCGGCGCGCATTTGAGAGACATGGTGGCGAAGTGATGGAAACATGAATTTGGGAAAGAGGTTTTGGCTGCAAACGTAAGTACAAATACGTTTTGTCTTTACCTGTCTTCATCCGTTGTCGTCCAGCCTGGTTAGGATACCTGGCTTTCACCCAGGCGACCCGGGTTCAAATCCCGGCAACGGAGCCTTTTGCCTGATCCCATGTGCACTCAACTGATGGGTTTTTAGCTGCCGCACAACAGCTCTGCAGGTGACATGATGGCAGTTTTTCTGGTCAGATGTCGCGATTGGTCAACAGAAAGTGTCTCCAGAAGCTGGTTGGCCAATGCCCATTTTCTGGCAGCGAAATTCCCAAGAGGTCTGCCATCAAACCTGCCCATGACAATACGTGATTGCACGTGCTGCTCCTAAGTGAGAGGCGATGGGGCGAATCCCAGACCCGACTGACATGCCTCCCTGTACAGTCACAGTGGGTGCCGTTCAAAGCCTCAACGTGACGCCACACCGCCTCTCAAAAAACTTCTGGAAATTCCCGCACGCGCAATTTTCCGCGACTGCTAAGGGGCCCACAATCAACCATCGAGAGCGTGCCACGTAGGACGTAGCAATCCATCACAAATATTTCCGTCCTCCCTGCCTTGACGTTCCGTCAAGTGTCACACCATCATCCTCACATAGCCTGCATCAAAACAGCATGAAGACGTGCCGAGGTGACAACTGACCAGACGAATTGAACGGTTTGGCAATCCCGACGCGAGGCGCGTCAAATCCTAGTTCTCCCAGGGAGTCTCCTCAGCATCATCCACGACGACATTTCCTTCATTGTTCTACTCTTCCAGGGGCCAATACTAACCAAGTAGCATCCATTCGTTGCTGCTAACTTTCTAGCTTGAGGACCTCGGCCAGTACTCTATCCCCATTGCACCGATACTATCCCTTCATGCGCATTTTTGTCACGAGAGCTGTGCTTCGCCGTGTTTAGATACCAAGTAGCTCCAAACAGCTCTCCGAGCAGTGAAGCCTGTCGATCGTCGCGAAGGAAAGTGATCGCACCTCATTATACCTGGCTTTTTGTAGAGAATAGAAGCGAGGTCTTCTGAGGAGGAGCTATGCCTCTTGTTGATGGTATGAATGCCTTGGACGAAGCGCTAGAGGCTCCCGAATGGAGCAGCCTTGAAGCCGTCAGGGAAGCTATTCGGAAGCAGCTGACCCAGCAAGGTAGCAACTACTCGCTTCTTCGTGATCGTGATGAGTCGATACCGTCGAAAAGCAGCGTTTCGTAAACGGTCCACTGAATACACCGTCACTTTTGAAAATAAGCAAATCAGCTACGTCTACTGATATCACTGCTCAACTTTTCTGGAAATCGATTTTTTTTTCCAGGCCCAGAAGCTGCAAATCCGTCGGAAGGCGTTATAAATCACTGGTCCGGAGAAATGATGGGTGTGTTGGACGACATGAGCAGCGCCAGAGCCGACGCCATGAGGAATGTGAAACCTGGAGATCGAAGAGCATGGAAGGTACGATTCAACTTTGACATTAGTTTTGAGACGTCTCAAATCTACGCCATGAGGAATGTGAATCCTGGAGATCGCAGAGCATGGAAGGTACGATGCAACTTTGGCATTAGGCATGCATAAGCTGACGCAGTTTTCCAGTTACGCAAATGCGTCCATCGCTCTCAATCAGCATTAGCTCTTGGCTGTAGCACGCCGAGGAAATCGGTATCACAGCGTGGTTAAGGCCGTTAAGAAGTAGAAAGGACTTGCACTTGAAATGGCTGGGACGCTTATTTCAAACGATTGATGCCTTGAAATGGCGAGCTCCATCTAACGATGCTGACTTGTGGAATCTGTTGTGCAGGTGTGCGAGGAGGGTCCCGATCATCGCGCCATGGTGCGGAAGGGACCGGAGGGGACGGAGGTGCACACGCTGCTGATGGAGGGGGTGATCAACGGGTCCGTGGAAGCAGCCGTCGCCATGACGCGTGACGTCACCTTTTTTAAGGAATGGTACGCTGCTGTGACCTTGCAGGCCTAATTCCACTACAGATACATCGCTTAGAATTCGTGCAATCAATCCACCGCCGATACCTCTCTCCAATGCTCTTGGTCGTTTTTTCGTAACCAGGCTTCAGAGACGTCCACGTGACGTCTGTTTCAACCGATCTGTGTCCACAGGTGCCTGGCTGCAGTGACCCGCTTTGGGGCGCCTCTGAACTTGTGATTATTTTTCTCGCCTCGTTTGTGCTTCCAGGTGGCCGCAGCAGAACATGCCCGTGTACAAGGTGATTGAGAACCGGTACCTGGGGCGCATCGGTGATTGAGAACCGTTACCAAAACTTGTGTGATCTTTTGCCTTTTGCTGTTTCAGGTGGCCGCAGCAGAACATGCCCGTGTACAAGGTTATTGAGAACCGGTACCTGAAGCGCATCGGTGACGGCTTCGACCTCACCTACATGAGGTGAGCAAGTCTCCACGCCGCTATGGACTAGGAGAGTCGCCCTACTGAATCGCCAATGCAATGTCAACGGCCCTGCCGTCAATATCTACTAGCATTGACGTCCATAGCCATACCTTAGAAACCCAAGAAATATGGCTAGAACCTGACGGTTTGCCATGAAACAGAGGCGGGGCTGCACTTTCCCTCTATTTCACGAATTGTGCTTGTGGCGTTCTCCACGGTTGAGTAATTTCGGACTTCATTCACGGTTCACAGCCTCTGTCCCTGTGCTGAACGGGTATGGATTTCTCTTTTGCCCCTGTTGCCTCTTTTGCAGGTTCAGGACCCCCTGGCCGTTCCCTGGCAAGGAGTTCGCCTTCATGCTGCTGAGCGTCTACGATGCCAACACGGGGCTGGTTACCACGGTCCTTCAGACGGTAAGTCTATTCTTGAGGTGCCTAAAACAGGAGTTCGCTCTCAGGCTGTTGAGTGCTACGATGCCAACAAGGGAATGGTTACCACCGTACTTCAGACGGTGAGTGGCCGAGTAAACAGCGATGGCATTCAAAACCTTTCGGGGAACACTTTATTGACGCGCCCGCCCAATCTTGGCTATCTCCCTGAGGCCGTTCCACGCGTGCCATCCGGCGCAGCCCGCATGGCCATCAATGGCGTCTTCACTGTGAAAAAAGACCGCTGTTGGGCTCTTGCAAGTGCAGATTCCTCTTCCCCGCTATCCATGCCCATTCCTCTTTCTTCATCCCCCCTTTCCCCATCCTCGCGTTGCCCTTCTCCCAGCCGCCAGAGGACAACACTGCTATCGACCCAACCTCTCATGGCTTCCCCAGTGCCATGTGGCCCCAGGGAGGCCAATTCACCAGTGCCATCTGGCGTGGCCCGCATGGCCATCAATGGGGCTTCACCATGAAGGACATTGGGGAGAACCGCTTTGGTGTTTTCCTCCATCCCCCTGTTCCTTTACCCCCGTCCCCAGCCGCCAGAGGACAGCCGTGCAATTGACCCATGCAAACACGGTATCTCAAGGGAGGCCGTGCCACCCGTGCCACCCCCCGTGCCACCCGTGCCACCCGTGCCACCCGTGCCACCCGTGCCATCCGGCATAGCTCGCATGGCCATCAACGGCAGGTTCGCCATGAAGGACCTCGGGGAGAACCGCTTATAGTTCTTTTCTCATTCCCCTCTCTTCCTTGGCTCCGTCCCCAGCCGCCAGAGGACAGCAGCACAATCGACCCATGCAAGAACGGTTTCCCCAGGGAGGCCGTTCCCCCCCGTGCCATCAGGCGTGGCCCGCGTGGCCATCAACAGGGGCTTCACCGTGAAGGACCTGGGGGAGAACCGCTAATCATGTCCCCCTCTACCCTCTATTCCCACTCTTCCTCTACCCCACCCTCCAGCCACCAGAGGACAACAATCTCATCGACCCCTGCAAGCACGGGTTCCCCAGGGAGGCCGTCCCCCCCGTGCCATCTGGCGTGGCCCGCATGGCCATCAACGGCGGATTCACCGTGAAGGATCTCGGCGAGAACCGCTGCCACTACCGGGGGATCTTCACCGTGGATCTCAAGATGCCGCCCGCGCTGGTCAACTTCGTGACCAAGGGGTTCGGCGGGATGCTGTTCACCGTGTTCAGCAAGGAGGTTGAGGTGGACCTGGCGGACACCAAGGGCCCCAAGGGGCCGGCGTTCCGGAAGGTTCTGGAAGAGGAGCAGCTGTACGTGCGGATTAGAGAGGCCATGAGTGAGCACAGAGCTCTTGAGGAGAGGAAGCAGCAGTGGAGGCTTGGAGGGGGAAAGGGTGGAGCAGCAGCAGCAGCAGCAGGGGAGGAGAGAGCGAGGGTGGACGAGGGGTGGGAGGGGGACGAGACGGATGGAGGAGAATCCGAGGCGTTTTTCTCTCCTGCCTCCTCCTTCTCCTCTGGCCTCCCTGTCAACTCCCTCCCTCCCTTGTCCCTCGACCACACTTTTGCCGATGATGAAGCTAACTCTAACATCTCGCCAGCCACAGCCAAGCTGCATGATGCCACCCTGGGCATGCACCACCGCACGAGTGCTGCTACTCACTGCAGATCTGCCGCTGCTAGGAGGGTGGTCGCGCCTGCAGCAGAGGCAGGAGCAGCAGGATGGGTTGGCAGAGGCAGGTTTGGCTTCCGCTCCAGCAGGCGAAATGCACAAGAGAAAGCCAGCAGGCTCTCAGCAGCAGCCCCCTCCTCTTCCTCCTTGCCCACGTGCTCCTCCTCCCACCCCACTCCGCCATCCCCAACTTCCTCCCTTGCCTCCTCCCTCTCCCAAGCTCGGCTCGAGGGACTTGGCTTGGTCTCTGTGGAATCTTCAGCGCATGCACCAGCAGCCTATCAGGCCCCCCACAGTGACCTATACCAGCAGATGCGGCCGGGTGAATTCGACAGGATCATGGCTGGTGGGGCTTCAGAAGGCAGGCAAAGATTTGGCCGCAGTGGCAGGAGCAATGGGGAGTCAGGAAGTGGTGGAGGAGGCGGTAGGCTGTTTGGAAGCAGCTGGAGATTCGGCAGCAGCAGTGGCGGCAGCAGAAGGGATAGTGATGGTTGTGGGGCGAGGAGGAAAATCCCGGGCAGCCCAGGCCTTGGCCTCTGGTGGAAGGGGAGATCAGCTCGCATTGCTGATGAACCTCTTGACGCAGTTTGTATGGCAAATGATCATGGTGATGTGACAGCGCCACTTGCTGGCTCTGGTTACCAGCCCCACAGAAGGTTCAGCAGGACCTCAAGCAGTGTGGGACTAAGCCAAGAGGATCACGCAACGCAGGCTTCAGCTCTCGCAGCAGCACCGCCACCACCCCATCTATGGTTGGAGTCTCCAACTCAAGATAGTAGCAACCGAAGGGGCAGCATTGGCAGCTGCTCGTCTGCAAGTTCAAGTCCAGTGGCATGGGAGAAGAGGAAATCATTTACATCAGGCAAGGAGCGATGCAGCGGGCATGCCGGTGGGCTGGCATCAGGTGTTTTGAGCCCTGGATGGGAGTCTGGGAGCACGAAGAGCACCAGCAGTTGTAGCAGCAGCAGCAGAAGTGGCACTGGTAGGAGCAATAGCCAAGCCAGCAGCCCAATTCACGGTCGGCTCAAAGCAGCTGTTGGTGGTTCGTCAGATGATGGTGGTGCTGCGGCCAGGGCTGGTACTAGCCAAGGATACAGCGAAGATTGGATGGCACAGCCAAAGCAGCAGCTGGAGATGAAACGACGGCAGGCAAAGGAGAGAAGGTTTCTCAACTTCTTGAAGGGAGGGCGTCAGATGGACATTGGTGCTCGCTGATGTGGCTGGTTTGTGAGTGCGGCTCCATGTTTGGTTACGTGCTACTGGCACTGCTGATACGTAATTGGAGCTCCAGTGTTGGGTGTGTGGAATACTTCAATGCGAAAACAATTGGCCATTTTCTTCGCACTTGAGTAGGCGGCACACACCGGCTGTTCAACACTCCCTTGTGTTGGAAATGATGAAACGACTTAAAGCCCTGGTCCCAAATTGGTCAAGCAGGCATCAAACGGGGCCCAGTTTGATGCTGACCGCGCTCGCGAACTACCCAACAAAAAAATCGAAGCTGGTATATGTAGGGTGGATCAAGTTTGCAAACCGGGCCCAGTTTTATTCGTGCAGTTTCCACCCGCTCACCCCAAATTCTGCCCATTGACTTGCGTGAACTAATTTGGGATCTGGGCTTTAAGCATTTCAGGAGTCTCGCATGCATTACAAATACGCGAGAACCGCAACATCGAGGAGTGGCGAGTCAAACCTGCTACAGTACCTTCTGATGGTTGACGCAGGTTGACGACAACTCACGAAGTGCGAAGGGCACGGGTTACAGTGTCAATCAACGTATACATATGCATGGCATGTATGGTTATAAGCTAGATGGGTTTATGCTCTTAGAGAGTACAACACACAACCCATATATCTCCCTGTATGCCTTCCTAGAGATAACTTTGTTACTCTGACATGGTATCACGCTAGGCAGTCCCACCCACCCGCGCTGCCGCCCTAGCCTACCATAGAGCGCCCCGCCACGCTCTCACCCTGCTTTTTGCACCGGTACCAGTCTCCCTAGCAGCCTCCCCAGCCACAGTAGTCGCACGTAGTACCACCACTCTCCTCTGTCAAGCTGTCCCCTCTGACTCCCTCACAGGTTTGCACATCCCCACGCTTTCCAGCTTAGCTGGTATAGGTCACATTCAAGACCTAGGAGCAGGGCTTATTTTATCAGAGTAAATCACTCTTGTTGGAAATATCTCAAGGACTTAAGCGTTTCTGAAGTGTAACACTGTACTCGAGGAAGATTACAGGGGAGCACGCGAGTCAACGGAGGTTACACGAGGGGGCGGACAAAGAATGCGAAAGGACTCGAAAGGTCGCAACTGGAGGTTGCGACTGACCGTTACAACATCACGGATGGTAACCGAAGCGGCAATCGAGTCGCTGTGCGACTCGATAAACCGTTCCTGTAACTGTATTCTACAACTGCTTCCTTATCTTCTATATATTGCTGTATGCTTGTTTCTTTAATCAATCACTTGTTCTCACATACTAGTACAAGGGTTCAACTGCCTCAACTTCCGCTGCACTACTCCAAGTCTCAAGTCTCTACAGCTGGGACTTAGTCTCTGCAAAAGATCCTAAGGGCTTTTCTCAGCCCAACATGGTATGAGAGCTGGTCAGAGACCAAACTCCCAGCAACTACGTTCTATCAACAACCTGCAACTCAACTCAATTCAACAACTTCATTGATTGCAAGACATGGACAACAAGGGCAAGAAAGTCTCTACGGGCTCACCCAGCGCCCAAGAAACTCAACACGGCAACTCTGGTCTGCACACCTCAGGACTGCAGACAGAGACCGGGACTGCTCAAGAAACAACGGGAAGAGTACCAGAGATGGTGACTCCGTCTCCCTCTTCAAGTGTGGACCCGAATCTCATGGAGAGATTCTTCAGCTTCATGTCACACTTCGACCAGCAGCAGCAGACAAGGACACCTGCGCACTCAACACAGAGCAATGGAGGGAATATGGGATTAGCGCCGATGAGCCTCGACAACTCATCCTTCGGGCGACACAACCAAGCGCCTACCTTTGCGCCTTATCATTCTTCGCCGGGGACGTTCGAATTCATGCCGCCCCGTGCCCAGCCAACAGCAGCTGCTTCACAACAAACACCGAATGAAATCTTAAGTTTACAGGCGCAGTTCTCACACGTGATCAAACTTCAGACATCCTCACCGTTCAACGGACACGACTTCTTTACCTGGAGCTTCGAGTTTGAGCTGCTGATGGAGGCAGCGCATCTTCTGGGATACTTCAACGGGTCCCTGCCATTCCCAAGCAACGGCACTGGGAAGGAACAAGAGATCTTCACGTATCAGTCGCTGCTGGCGTACACGGTACTCCTGAGAAACCTGTCACCACAAGAGCAGCAGAGCATCAGAACGTATCGGAGTTATGGAAACTCCGCGGAGCTCGCATGGCACCACCTCAAATGCCTTTACCAAGCAAACGACAGCGTGACACAAAGCAGACTCATGCAACAGCTGACAACAATACAGATGAAGACCGGGGAAAAGGCGATGCAGTATATGAGTCGCTGCCAGACCCTCCGCGACCGCCTGCTTCGGTGCGGAGGAACGATCACTGAAGAAAGCTTCGTGACACTTGTCCTCGCCGGGCTCGGGCCAGAATGGAGAACCACACGATCACTTCTTCGAGCCCACGGAAGAATTTCGGAGATGCACCTCTGCGCCGAGCTTCACGCTGAACAACAGGAGATGGATCTGTTCGAGGAAAGACAACCAAGGAAGCAACAGCAGTTAGTCTTCTACACTCAAAGAAGAAATGACAACAACTACAACCGACGCAGCAAGCAAGATCAACGCGACAACCGAGGACTCACCATCGTGCCGCCGTTCTGCCACAACTGTCAGACTTCCGGGCACTCCAAGGTCAACTGCAACCGCCCTCGCGTTTACCGTGCAGCAGACCCACAAGTCGCTTCCACTCAAGCAAGTCCTCCAAGGCGCTCTTCAACATCTGCACAACAAACACCCAACATCATCAACTGCATGGTACACATCGACAACTGCGCACCCGCTTCACCACCCACTTACGCACCAGACGAAGAGGAATTCCCGCCGCCGCGCTCGCAAGGACTTCAGGTCAACCCGACATACGCTGCAGTCGCTAACGCCGAACCCACCGGGCGGAACACCTGGTTCTTGGACAGTTGCTGCGGTCAGCACATGTGCTCCTCCGGACGCTTCGTACAACACGAGCGACGCCTCAACCGTGACGTCGTCATCACCGTCGCCAACAACGAAAACCTGAAAACAAATAGACAAGGCGTGGTTCAGTTACAATCAATGGAGACAAACGTTATTCTTCAGCTCAACAAAGTCCTCATCGTCGACAATCTGGGATACAACCTACTAAGCGTAAGCCAACTAATGGCTAAGGGGATTCACCTGGAGTGCGACTCCTTCTCCAACGAGTTCCGACTTTACCACGGGAAGGGCGGTCTCTTCATCGGTCGTGCCCTCCTGAAGTCCGGTGTCTTCGTGTTGGACTTCGTCCCCGACCGCGGAACTGCCGACAGCGATGGCATCGTATCGTTCGCCGCCTGGACTCACCCACCAGATCTTGATCCCGACTTCGACAGTGACGGCTTCTGGCACTCCAACACCATACCTGCAGCAGAGAGAACACGGGCATTAGCAGTTATCAGACAAGAAAGACAAGTACCAGCAAGCGTCCCAACAAAACCATCACCTGCAGTATCGGCAGCAGGACCCAGCCGAGTACCACCACCATCAACACGAGGACCGCCAACGGAAGCAGACCAACTTATGCCCGCCACACGAGAAGCTTGTCGAAGTCCCGCCTCGGTCGTCGCGTTCTTCTCCAACGCCGACATCTACCACCGCTCGCCCGGTCACCGCGCTCCCGACGACATCTGGCACCAACGTCTCGGACATCCTGCAAACAGCACGATACTACAAACAATACAAGCAGAGGTGTTAGAACGTAACGCCCTTCTAACGACGAGCGGCCAAGAACTTCGCCGACCAAGAGCACGATGCTTCACGTGCCCCGAAGCAGATCTTCCTCATCAACCTTTCCCAGCCCATCACAATCCAAGCGCACCCACTTACGCTCCGATGGAAAAGGTCTACAGCGATATTCTAAACATGCCTCGAGACGACACCGAAGCCGACTTCAACTACGTCATCACGTTCATCGACGCCGCAACCAGATACGTCTGGCACTTCAATCTCAAAACGCGCGATCAAGCCTTCGAGGCCTTCACCACATGGCTTCCAATCGCCGAACGAGAGTCAGGAACCAAACTCAAGAGTTTCCAGTCAGACGGTGCACTGGAATACCAGTCACAACGCTTCAGGACCTATCTCGCGGAAAGGGGAATCCGACGCCTGGTGTCTCTGCCCTATGCTCACCAGCAGCAGGGGGTAGCAGAACGCATGAACCGGACCTTGCAGACGACGATGCGAAAACTGCTTCTGGGGATGAGGCTGCCCAATACACTGTGGCCAGACGCGATGACACATGCAGTCCACCTGCACAACCTGTTGTCCTCGTCATCGCTCCCCAACAACGCATCACCGCACCTGCTGTGGACGGGAAAAAGGGGCAGCACAAAATTACTTCGAGTTTTCGGCTGCATGGTACAATACAGACCCCACACAGCTCGAGCAGGACGCTTCACTCAACGAGCTCGGTGGGGACTACACCTCGGCATCGCCAAACATTTTCACGCGTGGAAGATTCTCGACATACACGACAAAAATACGGTGGCATCACGTGATGTTATCTTCTACGAGCGACTGACGCTGCAGCATTACCTGGACAACATTGCCAACTCAGACGACCCCACCGACGGCTTCGCGGGCCTTCGCTCCTTCGCTGACCATGCTGCCGAGGCTGACGCAGCAGAAGAAGACGTCCCTGGAGCCTCGGAGGCTGCCGGACCACTCCCCTACTGCTCCGTACCTGTTCCACTCGATGAAGATAATCCTCTCGATAGCAACAACCTCGACACCTTTTACCACTTCGCTGACCAAGGCTACGCTACACCACACCCCGTCGACTCGAATATTTCCGAACGCATCGGGCCAAACTTCTTACCCGATCCTGAAGACGGTGATGAAGCAGCTTATCCCGAGAATGAAAACTCCCCTCGACACACAGCCACGGGACTGCAGATCCTAGGACTATGGGTCTCCGTCCAGCACCCGCCGCCGCCTTCTCCGCGCGAGCCGTCGACCCTGTCGCAGGCTCTGGGGGGGGAACATAAGGCACAATGGAAGGAAGCGATGGAAAAAGAGTTAAAAGCTCTGCAAGACCGAGAAACATGGAAACTGGTACCTGCAACGAGCATCAACGGGAAGAACATTCTCTCGGGGAAATGGGTGTACCGCATCAAGACCAACTCAGACGGCTCCATCGAACGATTCAAAGCTCGATGGGTCGTACGAGGCTTCGATCAACGATACGGAACCGACTACACAGAAACCTTCGCTCCAGTCTCCCGTCACACCTCTCTGCACATCCTACTCGCCATCGCGGCCACGAAGAAACTACCACTACGGCAAATCGACGTTGCAAACGCCTTCTTGTACGCACCTGTGGACGCCGAAATCTTCGTCGAACAACCCCACGGATTCATCGACGACCCTTCAAAAGTATGCCAGCTGGAAAAATCCCTTTACGGGATCAAGCAAGCCCCACGGCTCTGGCAGCAGCACCTTCACGGCCGGCTCGTAAAAATCGGATTCCTACAGCTACCACATGACCAAGGCATGTACCGACTACAGAAGGGAAGAGATTACATTCTGCTCATCGTCTACGTCGACGACCTGCTCTACATCGGTTCTACCACCGACATCGTCACCTGGTTCGAAGGGGAGCTGAAAAGGGACCTGACGCTCACGGTGTCCGACGAGGTGACGCAGTACCTAGGACTGAACGTCGTCGAAGACGACACGGCGTTCTACCTACACGCTGGAAAGTACTCAAGCACCGTCGCGAAGAAATTCGGTCTAACACCGACTGCGGTCCCAACTCCCTACCGCTACGGGAACAACAGTAGCGCCTCCACAAAACTCCCCGCGAAACAAATCCAGGAGTATCAACAGAAGCTCGGCTGTCTACTATTCGCAACAGTAACCTGCCGACCCGACCTATCCTATAGTGCGAGCCAGCTGGCGACACATCTGAAGCAGCCGCAACAGGAAGATCTCGAAGAACTCAATCGAGCGCTACTCTACTTCGTCTCCACGCCGACGATCGGGCTCACCTACAGCAAGGTAACAACACCGTCCGTACGACTACTCGGATACGTCGACGCCGACCACGCGGGAGACAGCGAAAATCGACGGTCTAGGACGGGCTACATCTACCGACTAGAACCTATCGGAACTATCTCCTGGCAGTCGAGCAAGCAGGAGTTAATCGCACTATCCTCGGCTGAAGCAGAGTATATCGCCCTTTGTACTGCGACCAAGGAAGGACTCTACCTACGAGAGTTACTCGAAGAAGCGAAGATCGCGACCCTGCCCACCTTCTCACTCCTCTGCGACAACCAATCTGCGATAAAAATCGCGAACAAGGACGGCTTCGCCAACCGAACCAAGCACATCGCCCTGCGGTACTTCTTCGTCAAGGATGAAATCGCGAAGGGGAGACTTCAACTCAGTTACTGCCCGACGACAGAAATGGCCGCAGATTATCTGACGAAGAAATTGGCGAAAGCAAAATTCGACTACTGCATGCTCCTAACCGGGCAAACAAACGTCACCGGATCTGAACACTCCAGCACTCCAGAAACGAAGGGGAGTGTTGGAAATATCTCAAGGACTTAAGCGTTTCTGAAGTGTAACACTGTACTCGAGGAAGATTACAGGGGAGCACGCGAGTCAACGGAGGTTACACGAGGGGGCGGACAAAGAATGCGAAAGGACTCGAAAGGTCGCAACTGGAGGTTGCGACTGACCGTTACAACATCACGGATGGTAACCGAAGCGGCAATCGAGTCGCTGTGCGACTCGATAAACCGTTCCTGTAACTGTATTCTACAACTGCTTCCTTATCTTCTATATATTGCTGTATGCTTGTTTCTTTAATCAATCACTTGTTCTCACATACTAGTACAAGGGTTCAACTGCCTCAACTTCCGCTGCACTACTCCAAGTCTCAAGTCTCTACAGCTGGGACTTAGTCTCTGCAAAAGATCCTAAGGGCTTTTCTCAGCCCAACAACTCTGTTTCTCTGAAAATCAGAGTCGTTTTTTGAAGTCACTCTGATGGTCCTGGGTAATTTTTTTGAAAGTTCTCTTTTCTCTGATTTATCAGAGTTGGTGTCTGTACCACCCTGTGGGTATTCATATAGGGGGCATACCCCCGGATATTACCTGTACTCCCTATAGACACACATACGCGTAGCCTGGATTCCTGGGTGGTTTCACGCGAGCCGCCCGCTGACTGTTCGCCATTTGCTGCCAAACTTCCTGCCGCTGGAAGATTCCTCGGTGCCCATTGGACACTTGGGCATTTTCTCGCGTGGCATCAGCAGCACAACTGCGTGCGGCAGCTGAAGTTGTCACCGCTGGATGATTGCTGCATGCCTTAGGCATTTCCTGGCTTGGTACAGCAGCCAGCACATCGACAGCACGCTAGGCTGCGGGTAGCAATGATGCTACTCACGCATGCACCATACAGCTAGTAGCGCATTGTCGATCACCTCAAGTCAAGACCAGCTTGTCCCTCCCTTCGTTCATCCATTCTGCTGCTTGCTGCAGGAAACCGAGTTCCCCTCCAACTCTCTCTTGCTCCACGCAAGAGAGAGTACCCCTCTCACAACTACCAGAGCGTATCAATCTCCCCTGAGGTAGTCCTGTTTGCAGCCACTTTCCCACCAGAGCCCGTCATGTGTAGTTCTGATGACGAGGACGATGTGGGGGAGGACGACCATAGCGCTGAGCGTTTTGTTAGGGTCGCTCCCCTCAGAGGCCTCGATTTCCTTCGTCGTGCACATGCCGCTCCTGTGTACTCGAACCCCCTTCCATCTCTCAGCAGTGAAGAGTGGGAGCGCAATCAGGACGATGTGACTGAGCTGGTTGACTCGCCATCCAAGGCCCCGCCTGCCACTCGTCCCGCCACGACAACCCCAGCTGCCACTCGTCCCGCCACATCAACCCCAGCTGCCACTCGTCCCGCCACATCAACCCCTGCTGCTACTCCTCCCGCCACGACTACATCGGTCGCCGTGACGTCGAAAAAGAGGCGCCGCTATGAGCAATCACACCTGCCATTTGCACCGCCTCCTCCTAAGCCCCCCACTCCGCCACCACCGGAGCGTGTCACTGCACCGTCAGCGAAACCGACAGTTGCGGAGAAGACGGCGAGGGCATACGAAAAGGCGCAACATAAGTACACCAATGATTGGCTCCCGAAATTCCCATGGCTGGTCCTTGATAAAAATGACGACGGAATCCCGTGCTTGTGTTGCAGTGTTTGCATGGAGCATGGTGCAGTGCATGCAAGATACGGGCGTGAGGGCAGTGGCGGTCGGGATCTGCAAGTCGGCTCGATGCGCTGGCACCAGGAGAGTCAGAAGCATGAAGACGCGGTGAGGAAGCAACAACACCTGCTGACAGAAGTGGAGAACCAGAAGAGGATGGAAGACTTTGTTGCGAATGACCCAGAGGGAGCGCGCATCATTCGGCTACTCCGCGCCATGTTATTCATCTGCAAGGAAGATGCGCCCATCAGCATGTTCACCCGCCTCGTGGGCTTCATGGCGCATGAAGGGGTGAAGGACGTTCCTAAGCAGAGCTACGGTGTCTACATAACACAGTAAGTTTATTAATCCCCTTGTACTGCTTCTCTTTCGGGTTTTCCTTTAACCTTTGGATTTTGTGATCCTCTTTAACCAACTACTAACACCAGTGTTGTGTGCATGCCTTTCTCACTCCCATTCAGGTACGGCTTCAAGGAGATGGTGAAAGCCATGGTGGCTTTCTTGCAGGCGCAACAGATGTCGCATATTCACGCATCTCCATTCATCGGCCTCAGTTGTGACGAAAGCACCGACAGAACGCGGGGGAAGCACTTGATCCTGTTTGCAACATTTCTGAAGAAGCGGAAAGTGGTCACCGAGTTCCTAGCTTTGCTGACCGTGGACAAGTGCGACGCGGCTTCTCTGCAGGCGATCATCCTCTCCCACCTCGAGACCCTCGGCGTCGATCTCCAGAAGATCTCTGGCATCAGTACGGATGGGGCTTCTGTGATGACAGGCGAGCATCATGGCTTGGTGGCTCGCTTACGAATGCGCATCCCGCACCTCGTGGGCGTCCATTGCATCGCCCATAGGTGCTGTTTGTTTGTTGCACCCATACGTGCTTTTAATGGCTCATGCGTGCATAGCTACATGCCCCTTCCAGGTAAATCTTGTCAAGTTGCTGATGCTCTCTGTTTTGTTTTTGTTGGCAGAGAGTCCCTGGCTGTCAAGGATGCTGCCGCGGCCTTCCCGGACTTCAAGATCATCGATGCCGTCATCCGCGCATTGGGGGAGATTGTTGGCCGTTCCACCCCATGGTATGAGCGCTTCAAGCACCTGCAGATGGTCATCCACAACACCAACCTGGAGCATCAAGGACTCTACCTTATCCGGTGGCTCTCACGTGGCGATGCAATCAAGAGGCTCTGCAGCATTCTCGGAGCGGCGATCGTTGTCCTCATCGAGTACAACCACAAGCTGGCACCGGTTGTGAAGACGCTGAAATTTCACTACTGCCTGTACTTCCTCGCTGACGTCCTCGCCGAGATGAACACCCTCAACAGGTTCTTTCAGAGGCGCTCTGTAAGTGGTGGTTTTAACGGGACGTACTTTTGTTTGGCGTATCTCGTTGCACTGTTGCACAGTCTTGCTATGTGTTTAACTTGGTAGTCATGTGCGTGAGTTTAATTCCTTGCATTTTGTACCTCCGCCCGCCCTATGCCCCTTCCGTCAGGTGGACATCACCCTGGTGTCCCAGGAGGTTGACCGCACGGTCACCTACATCCGGCACCGTTACATCGAGTACGGTGCGACATTCGGGGGGGGGGGGATGAGCAAGAGGCTGACCAAGTTCCTGCAGCGGCATGCCAGCGGCAAGCGCAGCATCGTCGTCGATGGCATGGACAACGACGGAAGTCCCTGCACGCACGCATTCGAACTCTCGGAGGAAAAGCTACCCGGCCACAAGTTCGGCGGCAGCATGTCGGACTGTGAGGACCTTTGCTCTGCGTTCGCCAAAGACATGGTGGCGAATGTGGAGCAGAGGCTGTGGGATCTGAAGCGGATGGGCGGCGCGGGACTGTTCAAAGTTGAGTGCTGGCCGAAGAAGGCAGAAGTGCGCGAGCGGCGACATCTCTCCTGGCTCGCATCCAACGTCGCCCTCTTCGACCACAAGCTGCCAGGTAAGTCAGTAGTTCCGTTAACACAACCGTATCATTCGTTGTTAAATGTCAGTTTGCCTTGCCCTAGGATGGATACTAAACCGTTGTCCTCTGCTTCTATTCCAACCAAACCCCAATTCCAGGAGTGAACCAAAGGGCGGCCGAGCTGGAGCTCAAGACCTTTGTTCACATCATGAAGAACCACCGGGCGGATGATGACTTCAACCAGGGGCTGGCTGCCATGCTCAAGACCCGCGACTGGCCTAAGAGCTATCCCAACCTGATGGCATTGTGGCAGGCCATGGCTGTGCTTCCACTGAGCACAGTGGAGTGTGAAAGAGGATTCAGCAGACAGAACGTGATCAAGTCGTGGCTGCGGACGAGCTTGTGCGATGCAAGGCTGAGCGAACTCATGACGATCAACATGCTGGACTACGACATGGACTACGCCGAGATCGTTGACATCTGGAGGAAACAGAAGATGCGAAAGCAGGCTAAGACAGTGGCCTATGAGACTCCCCTCGACAAAGGCAAGAGTGCAGCCGAGGATTCGGATGAGGAGATTGCAGCTAGTGAGGGTTCATATGAGGATGATGATGATGATGATGATGATTGATGAGATGCTGCTCTGTTACCGTGCCATGTGGATGTGAGACAATACTTTTTGCTGGGCAAATTCTAGATCTCTTCCAAATTCTAGGCGGACAGGGTTTTTTTTCTGATAAGGCACAAAAACCCTGGCAAATCAGAGTTCCGGTCCAGGGCACCCTGGATTTCAGAGTTAGCCCATGAGCTACTGGTGAAAATCAGAGTTTAGAAAAGTCAAAGATAAGCCCTGCCTAGGAGTCACCACCACTTTTGATCGCCATGTGAGACACTCATTCTCTACGGACACTCCGTCTAGCCACTTTTGACCGTAACCCAGCATTCGGTCTCTTCATGCTGCACACAAAGTCCTCGCCGGTTGTCGCATCCACTTCGGTGGCCTTGTCGTGCTCCTGTCGCTCCCTCGCCCACCCGACCCTTCTGTCGCACCACCGCTTAGGTCACTTTGCGCTCCCCCGTCTCCGTCACATGTCACAGCACGGTCGAGTCACTTGTCTCAGCACGGTCGAGTCACTTGTCTCAGCACGGTCGAGTCACTTGTCTTCCTGCGTCACTCCCAACCATGCTTGCATTAGTCGCGCCCCTGTGCACCTCCTACGTCGAGGGCTGGCAGCGCGCCACTCCTCACTCCACCTTGTACCATCCTACCATTGCACCATTGCAGACGCTGCACATGGACGTCGGGGGCCCTGCCCCGGTCCATGGTCTTCACAGGGAGCGCTTCTTCCTGATCGTTGTTGATGACTTCTCGCGCTTCATCATAGTGTTCCCGCTAGAGTGGAAGGCTGATATGTCTGGCGCTCTCATCCCGCGGCTACTCGTCGCCTGCCTGTGCTCCGTCTGACCGCTTGCTTGCCTTGCTTGTCACTTACCCTACTGCTTCTACAGAGACTGTCTCTGCACTTGTCGCTGCCGTCGCTGACTGCACTGCTAGCCACTGCCTTGACTATGCTTCCGCTCTGGTCTCTAACCCTGCCCGTCCTCCATCCGTTGGGGGTGCACCTGCCCTTTGCATCTTTGTGCCATGCTAGTATCCCCTGAGGGTGACCCGGACGCCCTCAAAATCCCTATCCGGCGCTCTTACGTTGAGGCGGTGTCGGGGCCCTCGGCAGCCCAGTGGATACAGGCCATGGAGGAACTGATGGCATCCTATAGATCCACATGCACCTAAGTCAACGCATTTCCCCCTCTTGGGGCGAACGTAGTC